GTTTTCGAAAATTTTTCCAAAATGTTTTTCTGTGTAGCTCAGCAGCCGCTGGACCAATAAAAAAGTGCGCCATACATTTTTTGTTCGAAACTTTTTCCCTATTTTATTGGTGATATTCCCGAAAGATTATCTCGCAAATTTAATTTTACGAAAATTTTTCCAAAATGTTTTTGTGTGAAGCTCAGCAGCCGCTGGACCAATAAAAAAGTGCGCCATACATTTTTTGTTCGAAACTTTTTCCCTATTTTATTGGTGATATTCCCGAAAGATTATCTCGCAAATTTAATTTTACGAAAATTTTTCCAAAATGTTTTTGTGTGAAGCTCAGCATCCGCTGGACCAATCTAAAAGTTCGCCATACATTTTTTGTTCGAAACTTTTTCCCTATTTTATTGTCGGTATTCCGGAAGGAATATCTCGCAAATTTAATTTTTCGAAAATTTTTCCAAAATGTTTTTGTGTCTAGCTCAGCATCCGCTGGACCAATCAAAAAGTGCGACATACATTTTTTGTTCGAAACTTTTTCCCTATTTTATTGGTGGTATTCCGGAAGGAATATCTTGCAAATTTTATTTTTCGAAAATTTTTCGAAAATGTTTTTGTGTGTCCCTTAGCATCCGCTAGACCAATCAAAAAGTGCGCTATACATTTTTTGTTCAGAACTTTTTGACTATTTTTTTGGTGGTATTCCCGAAAGCTTATCTCGCAAATTTAATTTTTCGAAAATTTTTCCAAAATGTTTTTCTGTGTAGCTCAGCATCCGCTGGACCAATCAAAAAGTGCGCCATACATTTTTTGTTTAGAACTTTCTTCTAATAACTTTGGCGGTATTCCGGCAAGAATATATCGCAAATTTAATTTTTCGAAAATTTTTCCAAAATGTTTTTGTGTGTAGCTCAGCATCCGCTGGACCAATCAAAAAGTGCGCCATACATTTTTTGTTCGAAACTTTTTCCCTATTTTATTGGTGGTATTCCGGAAGGAATATCTCGCAAATTTAAGTTTTCGAAAATTTTTCCAAAATGTTTTTCTGTGTAGCTCAGCAGCCGCTGGACCAATAAAAAAGTGCGCCATACATTTTTTGTTCGAAACTTTTTCCCTATTTTATTGGTGATATTCCCGAAAGATTATCTCGCAAATTTAATTTTACGAAAATTTTTCCAAAATGTTTTTGTGTGAAGCTCAGCAGCCGCTGGACCAATAAAAAAGTGCGCCATACATTTTTTGTTCGAAACTTTTTCCCTATTTTATTGGTGATATTCCCGAAAGATTATCTCGCAAATTTAATTTTACGAAAATTTTTCCAAAATGTTTTTGTGTGAAGCTCAGCATCCGCTGGACCAATCTAAAAGTTCGCCATACATTTTTTGTTCGAAACTTTTTCCCTATTTTATTGTCGGTATTCCGGAAGGAATATCTCGCAAATTTAATTTTTCGAAAATTTTTCCAAAATGTTTTTGTGTGTAGCTCAGCATCCGCTGGACCAATCAAAAAGTGCGACATACATTTTTTGTTCGAAACTTTTTCCCTATTTTATTGGTGGTATTCCGGAAGGAATATCTTGCAAATTTTATTTTTCGAAAATTTTTCGAAAATGTTTTTGTGTGTCCCTTAGCATCCGCTAGACCAATCAAAAAGTGCGCTATACATTTTTTGTTCAGAACTTTTTGACTATTTTTTTGGTGGTATTCCCGAAAGCTTATCTCGCAAATTTAATTTTTCGAAAATTTTTCCAAAATGTTTTTCTGTGTAGCTCAGCATCCGCTGGACCAATCAAAAAGTGCGCCATACATTTTTTGTTTAGAACTTTCTTCTAATAACTTTGGCGGTATTCCGGCAAGAATATATCGCAAATTTAATTTTTCGAAAATTTTTCCAAAATGTTTTTGTGTGTAGCTCAGCATCCGCTGGACCAATCAAAAAGTGCGCCATACATTTTTTGTTCGAAACTTTTTCCCTATTTTATTGGTGGTATTCCGGAAGGAATATCTCGCAAATTTAAGTTTTCGAAAATTTTTCCAAAATGTTTTTCTGTGTAGCTCAGCAGCCGCTGGACCAATAAAAAAGTGCGCCATACATTTTTTGTTCGAAACTTTTTCCCTATTTTATTGGTGATATTCCCGAAAGATTATCTCGCAAATTTAATTTTACGAAAATTTTTCCAAAATGTTTTTGTGTGAAGCTCAGCAGCCGCTGGACCAATAAAAAAGTGCGCCATACATTTTTTGTTCGAAACTTTTTCCCTATTTTATTGGTGATATTCCCGAAAGATTATCTCGCAAATTTAATTTTACGAAAATTTTTCCAAAATGTTTTTGTGTGAAGCTCAGCATCCGCTGGACCAATCTAAAAGTTCGCCATACATTTTTTGTTCGAAACTTTTTCCCTATTTTATTGTCGGTATTCCGGAAGGAATATCTCGCAAATTTAATTTTTCGAAAATTTTTCCAAAATGTTTTTGTGTGTAGCTCAGCATCCGCTGGACCAATCAAAAAGTGCGACATACATTTTTTGTTCGAAACTTTTTCCCTATTTTATTGGTGGTATTCCGGAAGGAATATCTTGCAAATTTTATTTTTCGAAAATTTTTCGAAAATGTTTTTGTGTGTCCCTTAGCATCCGCTAGACCAATCAAAAAGTGCGCTATACATTTTTTGTTCAGAACTTTTTGACTATTTTTTTGGTGGTATTCCCGAAAGCTTATCTCGCAAATTTAATTTTTCGAAAATTTTTCCAAAATGTTTTTCTGTGTAGCTCAGCATCCGCTGGACCAATCAAAAAGTGCGCCATACATTTTTTGATCAGAACTTTCTTCTAATGACTTTGGCGGTATTCCGGAGCGAATATCTCGCAAATTTAATTTTTCAAAAATTTTTCCAAATTGTTTTTGTGTGTAGCTCAGCATCCGCTGGACCAAACAAAAAGTGCGCCATACATTTTTTGTTCGAAAATTTTCCTTATTTTACTGGTGGTATTTCGGAGCGATTATCTCGCAAATTTAATTTTTGGAAAATTTCTCTCCCGATTTTTTTAAGTGTAGCTCAGCATCCGCTGGACCAATCAAAAAGTGCGCCATACATTTTTTGTTCGAGACTTTTTGCTCAATTTTTTGTCATTATTCCCGAGTCATTATATCAAAATTTTTAATTTTCGAAAATTTCTCTCCCGATTTTTTTAAGTATAGCTCAGCATCCGCTGGACCAATCAAAAAGTACGCCATACATTATTGGTTCGGAACTTTTTGACTATTTTTTTGGCGGTATTCCCGAGACATTATCTCGCGAATTTAATTTTTCGAAAATTTCTCTCCCGATTTTTTTAAGTGTAGCTCAGCATTCGCTGGATCAATCAAAAAGTGACCCATACATTTTTTGTTCGAGACTTTTTGCTCAATTTTTTTGCATTACTCCCGAGAGATTATCTCGTGAATTTAATTTTTCTGAAGTTTTGCCAAATTTGTTTTCTAGTGTAGCTCAGCATGTGCTGGACCATTATAATAGAAAGCATACTTACCGATTTTTACGTAATGCAAAACGTATTTTAGCATTAAGTGGAATTCATTTCGTTGTCCATCTATCTTACTTCGATGACATTGAAAAAGTGGAAAATCAGGTATTAATTGGAATTAAAAGTTTTCTGTTTCCAATACGATTATGAGGTGTATTTTGTGCAAGAAAATGCAATAAAATAGTCTGCCTAAGAAAAATTGAATTATATTGGGAACTTTTTTATAATTTTGGTTTATGGTAAAATGACTTTTAGGTGGTAATAGGTGTCTTCCTCTACTCGTATTTGGCTGTCAATTTTTTTCTACACTTTTAGGTGTATTTTGTGCAAGAAAATGCAATAAAATAGTCCGCCTAAGAAAATTGAATTATATTGGGAACTTTTTTATAATTTTGGATTTATGGGTAAAATGACTTTTAGGTGGTAATAGGTGTCTTCCTCTACTCGTATTTGGCTGTCAATTTTTTTCTACACTTTTAGGTGTATTTTGTGCAAGAAAATGCAATAAAATAGTCCGCCTAAGAAAAATTGAATTATATTGGGAACTTTTTTATAATTTTGGATTTATGGGTAAAATGACTTTTAGGTGGTAATAGGTGTCTTCCTCTACTCGTATTTGGCTGTCAATTTTTTTCTACACTTTTAGGTGAATTTTGTGCAAGAAAATGCAATAAAATAGTCCGCCTAAGAAAAATTGAATTATATTGGAAACTTTTATATAATTTTGGTTTTTTTGGTAAAATGACTTTTAGGTGGTAATAGGTGTCTTCCTCTACTCGTATTTGGCTGTCAATTTTTTTCTACACTTTTAGGTGAATTTTGTGCAAGAAAATGCAATAAAATAGTCCGCCTAAGAAAAATTGAATTATATTGGGAACTTTTTTATAATTTTGGTTTTTTTGGTAAAATGACTTTATGTGGTAATAGGTGTCTTCCTCTACTCGTATTTGGCTATCAATTTTTTTCTACACTTTTAGGTGAATTTTGTGCAAGAAAATGCAATAAAATAGTCCGCCTAAGAAAAATTGAATTATATTGGGAACTTTTTTATAATTTTGGTTTTTTTGGTAAAATGACTTTTAGGTGGTAATAGGTGTCTTCCTCTACTCGTATTTGGCTGTCAATTTTTTTCTACACTTTTAGGTGAATTTTGTGCAAGAAAATGCAATAAAATAGTCCGCCTAAGAAAAATTGAATTATATTGGGAACTTTTTTATAATTTTGGTTTTTTTGGTAAAATGACTTTTAGGTGGTAATAGGTGTCTTCCTCTACTCGTATTTGGCTGTCAATTTTTTTCTACACTTTTAGGTGTATTTTGTGCAAGAAAATGCAATAAAATAGTCCGCCTAAGAAAAATTGAATTATATTGGGAACTTTTTTATAATTTTGGTTTTTTTGGTAAAATGACTTTTAGGTGGTAATAGGTGTCTTCCTCTACTCGTATTTGGCTGTCAATGTTTTTCTACACTTTTAGGTGTATTTTATGCAAGAAAATGCAATAAAATAGTCCGCCTAAGAAAAATTGAATTATATTGGGAACTTTTTTATAATTTTGGTTTTTTTGGTAAAATGACTTTTAGGTGGTAATAGGTGTCTTCCTCTACTCGTATTTGGCTGTCAATTTTTTTCTACACTTTTAGGTGTATTTTGTGCAAGAAAATGCAATAAAATAGTCCGCCTAAGAAAAATTGAATTATATTGGGAACTTTTTTATAATTTTGGATTTATGGGTAAAATGACTTTTAGGTGGTAATAGGTGTCTTCCTCTACTCGTATTTGGCTGTCAATTTTTTTCTACACTTTTAGGTGTATTTTATGCAAGAAAATGCAATAAAATAGTCCGCCTAAGAAAAATTGAATTATATTGGGAACTTTTTTATAATTTTGGTTTTTTTGGTAAAATGACTTTTAGGTGGTAATAGGTGTCTTCCTCTACTCGTATTTGGCTGTCAATTTTTTTCTACACTTTTAGGTGTATTTTGTGCAAGAAAATGCAATAAAATAGTCCGCCTAAGAAAAATTGAATTATATTGGGAACTTTTTTATAATTTTGGTTTTTTTGGTAAAATGACTTTTAGGTGGTAATAGGTGTCTTCCTCTACTCGTATTTGGCTGTCAATTTTTTTCTACACTTTTAGGTGTATTTTGTGCAAGAAAATGCAATAAAATAGTCCGCCTAAGAAAAATTGAATTATATTGGGAACTTTTTTATAATTTTGGATTTATGGGTAAAATGACTTTTAGGTGGTAATAGGTGTCTTCCTCTACTCGTATTTCGCTGTCAATTTTTTTCAACACTTTTAGGTGTATTTTGTGCAAAAAAATGCAATAAAATAGTCCGCCTAAGAAAAATTGAATTATATTGGGAACTTTTTTATAATTTTGTTATTTTTTTGTAAAATGACTTTTAGGTGGTAATAGGTGTCTTCCTCTACTCGTATTTGGCTGTCAATTTTTTTCTACACTTTTAGGTGAATTTTGTGCAAGAAAATGCAATAAAATAGTCCGCCTAAGAAAAATTGAATTATATTGGGAACTTTTTTATAATTTTGGTTTTTTTGGTAAAATGACTTTTAGGTGGTAATAGGTGTCTTCCTCTACTCGTATTTGGCTGTCAATTTTTTTCTACACTTTTAGGTGTATTTTGTGCAAGAAAATGCAATAAAATAGTCCGCCTAAGAAAAATTGAATTATATTGGGAACTTTTTTATAATTTTGGTTTTTTTGGTAAAATGACTTTTAGGTGGTAATAGGTTTCTTCCTCTACTCGTATTTGGCTGTCAATTTTTTTCTACACTTTAAGGTGTATTTTGTGCAAGAAAATGCAATAAAATAGTCCGCCTAAGAAAAATTGAATTATATTGGGAACTTTTTTATAATATTGTTTTTTTTTGTAAAATGACTTTTAGGTGGTAATAGGTGTCTTCCTCTACTCGTATTTGGCTGTCAATTTTTTTCTACACTTTTAGGTGTATTTTGTGCAAGAAAATGTAATAAAATAGTCCGCCTAAGAAAATTTGAATTATATTGGGAACTTTTTTATAATTTTGGTTTTTTTGGTAAAATGATTTTTAGGTGGTAATAGGTGTCTTCCTCTACTCGTATTTGGCTGTCAATTTTTTTCTACACTTTTAGGTGTATTTTGTGCAAGAAAATGCAATAAAATAGTCCGCCTAAGAAAAATTGAATTATATTGGGAACTTTTTTATAATTTTGGTTTTTTTGGTAAAATGACTTTTAGGTGGTAATAGGTGTCTTCCTCTACTCGTATTTGGCTGTCAAATTTTTTCTAGTCTTTTATGTGTATTTTGTGCAAGAAAATGCAATAAAATAGTCCGCCTAAGGAAAATTGAATTATATTGGGAACTTTTTTATAATTTTGGATTTATGGGTAAAATGACTTTTAGGTGGTAATAGGTGTCTTCCTCTACTTGTATTTGGCTGTCAATTTTTTTCTACACTTTTAGGTGTATTTTGTGCAAGAAAATGCAATAAAATAGTCCGCCTAAGAAAAATTGAATTATATTGGGAACTTTTTTATAATTTTGGATTTATGGGTAAAATGACTTTTAGGTGGTAATAGGTGTCTTCCTCTACTCGTATTTGGCTGTCAATTTTTTTCTACACTTTTAGGTGTATTTTGTGCAAGAAAATGTAATAAAATAGTCCGCCTAAGAAAATTTGAATTATATTGGAAACTTTTATATAATTTTGGTTTTTTTGGTAAAATGACTTTTAGGTGGTAATAGGTGTCTTCCTCTACTCGTATTTGGCTGTCAATTTTTTTCTACACTTTTAGGTGAATTATGTGCAAGAAAATGCAATAAAATAGTCCGCCTAAGAAAAATTGAATTATATTGGGAACTTTTTTATAATTTTGTTTTTTTTGTAAAATGACATTTAGGTCGTAATAGGTGTCTTCCTCTACTCGTATTTGGCTGTCAATTTTTTTCTACACTTTTAGGTGAATTTTGTGCAAGAAAATGCAATAAAATAGTCCGCCTAAGAAAAATTGAATTATATTGGGAACTTTTTTATAATTTTGGTTTTTTTGGTAAAATGACTTTATGTGGTAATAGGTGTCTTCCTCTACTCGTATTTGGCTATCAATTTTTTTCTACACTTTTAGGTGAATTTTGTGCAAGAAAATGCAATAAAATAGTCCGCCTAAGAAAAATTGAATTATATTGGGAACTTTTTTATAATTTTGGTTTTTTTGGTAAAATGACTTTTAGGTGGTAATAGGTGTCTTCCTCTACTCGTATTTGGCTGTCAATTTTTTTCTACACTTTTAGGTTTATTTTATGCAAGAAAATGCAATAAAATAGTCCGCCTAAGAAAAATTGAATTATATTGGGAACTTTTTTATAATTTTGGTTTTTTTGGTAAAATGACTTTTAGGTGGTAATAGGTGTCTTCCTCTACTCGTATTTGGCTGTCAATTTTTTTCTACACTTTTAGGTGTATTTTGTGCAAGAAAATGCAATAAAATAGTCCGCCTAAGAAAAATTGAATTATATTGGGTACTTTTTTATAATTTTGGATTTATGGGTAAAATGACTTTTAGGTGGTAATAGGTGTCTTCCTCTACTCGTATTTGGCTGTCAATTTTTTTCTACACTTTTAGGTGTATTTTGTGCAAGAAAATGCAATAAAATAGTCCGCCTAAGAAAAATTGAATTATATTGGGAACTTTTTTATAATTTTGGTTTTATGGGTAAAATGACTTTTAGGTGGTAATAGGTGTCTTCCTCTACTCGTATTTGGCTGTCAATTTTTTTCTACACTTTTAGGTGTATTTTATGCAAGAAAATGCAATAAAATAGTCCGCCTAAGAAAAATTGAATTATATTGGGAACTTTTTTATAATTTTGGTTTTTTTGGTAAAATGACTTTTAGGTGGTAATAGGTGTCTTCCTCTACTCGTATTTGGCTGTCAATTTTTTTCTACACTTTTAGGTGCATTTTGTGCAAGAAAATGCAATAAAATAGTCCGCCTAAGAAAAATTGAATTATATTGGGAACTTTTTTATGATTTTGGTTTTTTTGGTAAAATGACTTTTCGGTGGTAATAGGTGTCTTCCTCTACTCGTATTTGGCTGTCAATTTTTTTCTACACTTTTAGGTGTATTTTGTGCAAGAAAATGCAATAAAATAGTCCGCCTAAGAAAAATTGAATTATATTGGGAACTTTTTTATAATTTTGGTTTTTTTGGTAAAATGATTTTTAGGTGGTAATAGGTGTCTTCCTCTACTTGTATTTGGCTGTCAATTTTTTTCTACACTTTTAGGTGTATTTTGTGCAAGAAAATGCAATAAAATAGTCCGCCTAAGAAAAATTGAATTATATTGGGAACTTTTTTATAATTTTGGATTTATGGGTAAAATGACTTTTAGGTGGTAATAGGTGTCTTCCTCTACTCGTATTTGGCTGTCAATTTTTTTCTACACTTTTAGGTGTATTTTGTGCAAGAAAATGCAATAAAATAGTCCGCCTAAGAAAAATTGAATTATATTGGGAACTTTTTTATAATTTTGGTTTTTTTGGTAAAATGAATTTTAGGTGGTAATAGGTTTCTTCCTCTACTCGTATTTGGCTGTCAATTTTTTTCTACACT